CACCACCCCCAAAAAAAAAGTTAATAAAAGGAACCACCGTTGTTTTATTGGCGTTAGTGGGAGTTAGTGAACTGATACACAGATATGTTCAGAAGTTGCAGGGAATATTTTTTTTCATTTGTAATAGCTGTTTTTTGTGTCCTTTTGGGTTACTTGTGAACGACTTGTTAGTAGTTCTGGGAATTTTTTTTGGTAACTTATACGCCTTCTGGTTTGGTTTCAGTTTTTCACCGAGTATAACTCAAAGCTGCTTGAGTCCAGTAACTACATCACTAGAAGACAAGCTGTCAAGGTAAGGGATTTGGCCCCTCTTGATGTGGACATATTCTGTCGAATAGTATATAGTTATGGGCACGAGTTTTGTTTCTTTGGAATCTCTCACATTTTGCGAAGTATCTCAGTGTAAGCTTGGTATGTTACATTATGAATCATTGAGGTAAAAGGTGCATTTCTTTCCTTAAATCCTCCAGATCTTACACAAACAAGATGTTTCGGTGACTTGAATGTTATCTGCATTTTGTGGAAGAGCTTTTCCTTTCTTTTCTTTTCTTACCTTTTCTGCTCTCAGGGATGTTCGTTTACAGTTTTGTTATGAGTTCCTTAGAAAATACATATCTAATGTGCATTTTAGGTTGAGTACTGAGAGGGAATCCTCTTTTTCATATTAAGAAGGAAATAGGAGGAAGGTGTTAATCTATACAAGGTACACCAGATGTGAAACAGTGAAGGGCTGGAATGTTTACTGTTATGTTTGTCTATAAGGTGGTATCATTGTCGATTGCAGTAAACTAAGGGCTCTGGAAGATTATATTTAGGAGCAAAGCCCCTTTAACGGTGGCTGCTTTCTGCTGGCTGGCTACTCATGAAGCTTGATTGACATAAACATTTTGCAAAACAAGGGAGTTTTGTATTTTTGTTAATTGTGTTGGGAGGCATGATGAATATTACTTATTTGCCGCTGCATGGTGTGGTGGCAATGTTGTGAAGTTTATTTCTAAATCTTTGTGGATGGAACTGGGATATGCCAATGTTGTAAAGAACGCTCTCTCATGCTGGTCAGGCGGGAGAGTGAAAAAGACAGTAGAAGCATATGGAATATCGTTCCGTCGTGTATATTTTGGTTTATATTTTGATGAAAGGAATCAGAGATTTTTTGGAGGAAAAGCTGAACCACGACATAGGCTTAATATATAAATGCTTGCCCTTTTTTGGCTTTTTGGTGTAATATGGAAAATAAAAAATAATATGGTTTACTCATATCCTTTCATTAGTGCAAACTTTGTGAAGTACGGTTATGACTTTTTGTTACTATACATATTTAGCACTTTCGCTATGCTATTAGAGGAATAAAAATTTTGGCGACTTATTCCAGAAAAATAAAAAATGCAAAAATGGAAGAATAAGGAGGAAGTTAGGAGTTTTCACATGCCAGTGGAATCGTTCTGTAGATTGTTTTCATGATTGGGAACAGAACCTGTGATTTCGAAGACAGTTTCGGGCAGTTCAAATAGCATTTTTACTTATCTTGGTTCCTACCTAGAAGTAAAATGAATAGTTGCTTCTTTGTGCCACATCATATTCAAGCACACTGCTCCGTTGTAAAATTCTTCTTTATAAATCTTATAATGTCGTTTCTACTTCTTCAAGATAAGTAGATATTTAAGCACATTACGTATTTTGACTGTAGTCTTTCAATTTTCATGTTCAGGATACTTGTGACGTTTAGCTTTAAAGAAGCCACATTTAAAAGTTTCTTCTTTCTAAATCCTTATAATGTCTGCTTTACTGTTGCAGCTCTTGGCAGATATGCTGTTGGACCGCTCAAATTCTGCTGTAATGACACGTTATGTTAGCTCAAGAGACAACTTGAGGATTCTTATGAATCTACTCAGGGTATTGATCACCTTCACTCTTACTTACTATCACTTTTGTTTGTTCTTTCTTTCGTCGTGTCTCCTTCAATGCCAGAGTTCTGGGCTTTCCTATGCTTCTCAATATACCCTTTCTGTCGTTACTAGTTTAGGGTTAGACATGCATCAATGGGTGGAAAATGCAGTACTGGGTTAAATTTAAACATGTTGACACGGTTTACGACAAGAATAATCAAAGCCAAACCTCCACATGTATATTAATTGATTATGAGTTGACTTTTGGGTGTCTGTAGGTTGAGTTTGGATTACAATCCTACCTGCCAAAAACTGTTGCGCCTTTGACGTTTTTAAGATGTATTAGAAAATTGAAAAAGAAGTGGGAAAAAAAAATTCATTATCCTTACTTTAAAGCCGCCCATTATATAGTATGGACAACTGTATCGTAACTTCTTGAGATACCCAGTTAGGTTCAGAAATTACAGGTTCAAACTGCCAATCCTAGCCGAGGGTCTATCGGAAACAGCCTCTCTGCCTCCACAACGTAGGGGTAAGGTGTGCGTACACACTACCCTCTCCACTACCCTCCCCAGACCCCACATGTGGGATTACACTGGGTTTTTTGTTGTTGTTGTAAACTGCCACTCCTAAATTTTATCTGTGACTACCCAGTAGTAGACCGGTAATTGTTTAAATAAACAACCTGTGGTGTGGAGTGTCACTTACTAGTTGACCTTGCAAACCATGATATAGACATTTTCTGTGCATATGAACAAAGATATGCTGCAGGATGAAGTATGTAGGTTTTACAAATATGGGAAAGTAATTAAGGCTCTTTTCTCGTCACTTCAGCTGATGTGAGAATCCTAACATCAGCGAGTCTTTAACAAATGTTCTTAAATGGTATCGGTATCACCCGATGTTGATTGCTAAATTCTTCTTTGGCAGGAGTCAAGCAAAAGTATCCAAATAGAAGCGTTTCATGTCTTCAAGGTAGCCTATTGGTTTTAGCATTCTTTTATATATTCGATCGTTACCTCCATTGTCAAATGCTTTGTGTCTGACCTTTGAATGCTTTGCAGCTATTTGCCGCAAATCACAATAAGCCTCCGGATATTGTTAGCATCCTCATTGCTAACAGAAGCAAACTACTTCGTCTCTTTGCCGATTTTAAGACTGACAAAGGTATGAAACACAATAAAAGGAGCAGACCGCATCTTTTGAAAGCATTGCTTCATCGTCCTTAATCGTCTTTTCTTGTCTGCAGAGGACGAGCAGTTTGAGGCCGATAAAGCGCAAGTCATTAAAGAAATCGCAGCCCTTGAACCCAAGGACATCAAATAAATTGCAGCCCTTAGACACAAGGAATGCTGTTGAACTCGGCACTAGTTATTTTTCTGAGTTGTTGAGTTTGTGTTGTATCTTTAATACCAAAAAATGGTGTTTCTCTACTGAGAAAGTATTTATTGGCCTGTTTTTGGTTCCATTTATTTTTATGATTCTTAGGTTGCTGGCATTGTCTTCGTGACGTAGTGGTTGTTATTGTTACCTCCTTTTCATCTCCTTGAGCCGAGGGTCTTTTGGAAATAACCTCTTTACCCTCCAGGGCAGGAGTAAGATCTGCACACACACTACCCGTCCCAGACCCCACGTGTGGAATTATATTGAGTTGTTGTTGTTGCTGTCGTCGTCGTCGTCTTCACCTGTTTTTGGCAGTGCCATTGCTTCTCATTCATTTCTGGTCCTTTACATTTCTGTCTATTGAATCTTTTTAGATCTTACATATATAGTAGATCATTTGAATAGTGTTATCTTGGGTTTGAGTAGTTTTAAAGAGCTTTCTCCATTTTGCTAGGGTTGATTTGCCTTTGCAAAAAAGCGAGATAGCGTGCTATTTTCAAATCGATTGATAGATAGTCTGATCTGTTCTGATAAATCGAAAGAGATAGAGAGGGAAGCTCTCAAGAATAAGGGGTGGCAGACCCAAGGGTTCAGTGTTTCAGGGTCGTACCTTATATATAGAGTCAGAACTCTTTATATAACAACATCATTTTTATAACAACACTTTTTTATAAAAGTCAAATATTTTCGGAACTAAATCTCATGTTCTATTATAATATACGTTTTCTATAATAATAATTCGGTATAACATCCGAAAATATCCGGAACAAATTAAGCTGTTATAAAAAGGTTTGATTGTATATATATACAATAAACAAGTATAGATAATGTTAGATGTGCATGTCGAAATTAACTCTCTCAATCTTATAGCCACATCGTTTAAATTCTGAATCCGTTCATTATTTGCATGTAAATTCAGTAAAAAACATGTTTCACTATTTCATTTGTGTGCCAAAAGAAAAATACGAAGGAAAGAACATAAAAGAAGAAAAGATATACTACTCCAATAATCTCTTTCACTTTCTCCCTTTTTCGGGGTCAATTAATTTTTTTGGCTCTTTACAAATTTATTTTTAGTTTTATGACTGTTTTTACATATGAAAAATTTATTTTTACACGTAAGAGATCTGTCTTTTACACATAAAAAATCTAAAAAAAATTATTTTTTTAAATTTAAAATTATAAAAGGACATAATGTAACCCTTTTTTCTCTTTTATGGTGTTATTTTCATAATATGTCTTTTTCGCTATTCCAGACCACTTATAATTTTCAATGTTGGGAACACACGACACGTGCACTCAAATAAAAGTATTATCGTATTACTAATTTTTTTTAAAGAGAGTAATTTATTATTGATTTTTACAAATATTTTGTGCATCGTAGTAACAGTAAATCATCATTTTTTAATGATTTTTAAAAAAAATAAATATGTTTATGTTAAATTAACACTTTTAATTCGCTATATAGAGGAATGGGGGATAAAAGTGGAAGAATATGGACACGAGGGAATAACGAACACAGCATATACTCAGGTACATAGGCATATTCCATGAATGTCTGTCTGTTGGATTTACCAAACTACCCTTTCCTTGTCTTTCTGGGATTCTTGCTTTGGTATTTGATTCCTATTTTTTAGTATCATCATTATTTTCCCATAAAGATATTCCTCTACTTTCTAAAGGGTCTCCAAGTTAAATTTCCCTTAATTTGTAAATGGTATCGGGTTTTTATTATGTTATAATATATGTCCTCTATAACAAGTAAAATAGCACGAGCTAATTAGTTTTCGGATTGGTCATTCAAAAATAGTCATCTCCAAGTTAAATTTCCCTTAATTTGTAAACGGTATCGGGTTTATATTATGTTATAATATATGTCCTCTATAACAAGTAAAATAGCACGAGCTAGTTAGTTTTCGGATTGGTCATTCAAAAATAGCCATCTCCAAGTTAAATTTCCCTTAATTTGTAAATGGTCTGGGGTTTATATTATGTTATAATATATGTCCTGTATAACAAGTAAAATAGCACGAGCTAGCTAGTTTTCGGATTGGTCATTCAAAAATAGCCATCTCCAAGTTAAATTTCCCTTAATTTGTAAATGGTCTGGGGTTTATATTATGTTATAATATATGTCCTGTATAACAAGTAAAATAGCACGAGCTAGTTAGTTTTCGGATTGGTCATTCAAAAATAGCCACCTCCAAGTTAAATTTCCCTTAATTTGTAAATGGTCTGGGGTTTATATTATGTTATAATATATGTCCTGTATAACAAGTAAAATAGCACGAGCTAGCTAGTTTTCGGATTGGTCATTCAAAAATAGTCAGCGTTTATAAAGTCATTAAAAAATAGCTACTGTTTCGCTGTAACACGGAAAGTTCCAGCATAATATACTGGAGATCGATGCACTTGTGTATGAATTTCCAACATATTATGCTGGAACTACAACACGCTGGAAAGTTCCAGCATAATATACTGGAGATTGGAGCACCTAGTATGAACTTCTAGTATATTTTACTGGACTGGTATATTATACTGGAACTCCGGTATATTAAGCTGGAGTATTTTCCGGATTTTGAATCGTCTTTTCTTTCAAATTTATCTTTACATAAAAAATTGCTAAGTTTCGATTACTTTTGAAACTGTGACTATTTTAAAAATGACCACTTGTAAATCTGGTTATTTTTGAATTTCTCCCTATAATAAAACTTACTATAGTAGCAAAAAAATATGAATATAGACTAAACTGTTATAGAGAAGTTTGATTGTATCCCTATCCGTTAAGAGGTCCGAATCCATTCACATTGGTTCATTTGCTCAATTCCATTACCCGACCCATCCAAAATCCTCTTTTATTTTATTTATATTAATAATTTGTTATATTTTGAATTAATGCAAAATCCGAGTGAACATAGGGGTATATCAGGTCCAACAAAATATGTCTATACATAGTTGTATTTGTCTATAGTGGTCTTTCATGTGCCTAAGTGAAAGTTCTCTCTCTCTATATATATATATATATTCACATCATATTCTCACTTTCTCTTCGCATCACTCAATTAATCAAATTTTTCAAAGATGGCTCAAGATGGTATAGACCCTTTCATCTCTAATTCTAATTTTTTACCCATATTCTTGTATAAGTAATTGTATGTGAATTATTTCTTAAATGCCATTGTTTTGAATTTCAGGTTCACTTGAACAGTTTCTTGATGTTGCAGTTGAAGCAGCTAAGAAAGCTGGAGATGTAAATCTAATTTTACCCAAATTGCTTCTTTTTTATTTTTATTTTTTTTTGCAGTTACTTTATTGGTTTTTGTTTGATCAATTTAGCTACATTTTAAAGATTCAATTTTTAGCTTTTATTTGATCTTGATTTCTCTGTTTTAAATTTGACTCAATTGATTTTTTTTTTTTCCTTTTTTTTGCAGTTACTTGTTATTTTATTGGTTTCTTGTCTAACCAATTTTAGCTACATTATAAAGATTCAATTTTTAGCTTTAATTTGGTATTGGTTTCTTTGTTTTTGCATTTCTGGGGTTTGAAGGTAATTCGCCAAGGATTTCACCAGACTAAGAATGTGGAGCACAAAGGAGTGGTTAGTGCTTTGTTTAGTTGTTTTTGGCTAAGCATTTCTGTTCTGGCTTTTTCTTGTTAGTGGTTTTCTGTCAATTTGTTGTCTTTTTGCTTAAAAAGAGCTTTTTTCTTGCTTAATCATCCGGTGTCCGAAAATCACTGTCCCGACTAATCCAGATTCGTGCTGTAAAAAGCGCACTATAGGGGGTTTTAGCGCTTCCCTATTAAAGAGGACTTTGTCCCCGGACTCGAACCTGAGACTTCGTAAAGGTGGAGGAACCTTTAGCATTTCACCAGTGGCGGAGGCAGGATCTCCACCAAGTGGGTTCAAAAAAGAAAAAAGTTAAAAACAATTGTGGCTAGCGAGAGTTGAACCTATGACCTTACAAAGGATTTGAATCCCCTTTACCACTAAGCTACACTTTTGGGCTGTGTCGAGGGGATTCAAAACTTAATATATAGCTGTAAAAAACAGATATTGCCTTATATGTACAGTGTAATTTTTCGGCGAACCCCCTTCCGCCCCCCTAAATCCACCCCTGCATTCCACCACACCCTCTACACACCCCTTAGGAAGCATAGTTTACTTTCATTTTTGGACTGAAGAGCTATGACTGCTTAATTTGCTAGTCAGTTTGTTGCTTCTATAAAGGATAATTTCGGATATTGAGATACTACTAAGAGAATGAACCATGTTTGTGGCTTGAATTTGAGTATATATGGTCTATTATCCAACTAGGAAACTACTTATGCTTCTTATAAAAGTCAAAATATTTTACACTTAAACGATAGAAAATACCTTCTGCAGATACATATTCGACGGACTTAAGCTTAATTGGTTCAACCTTAATGGTTTTAGCACTAAACTTGTTGTGCCTTTAAATTATGGGTTCAGAGTTTAATATGATTGAAATTTTAGTAGTTTTTCACAATACTCCGTGTCTAATATATTGGGTTCAATTGTATTGTAGTCAAAACACTACATCCGCCTCTGACCTTTTGAAGGAATTCGGTGGCGTAGTTCGAGTTGTTCGGGAAAAGGAGAAGGGTGGAAGAAGGTTTATTGTTCTTTTTAGTTTGACTTATATTGCATAGGAAGCACAATGGAAACAGCTGTAGGTAAACAATATTTTAGAATGTTTAAAACATATATAGGTATGAAATGTGCGCATACGAATTAGTTAAGAATGAATTTTTATTGCATAAAGTAAATCATCTTTTTGTTTTTGGCAAGAAGAAACATGTAAATCTTGGTCTTTTCAGTTTCTTGTTTTATTCTATGGGTCTTTTGTACACTTAAATTTATGTTATTCGTCCAATGTAGGTGGATTTAGTCACAGAGACTGATAAGGCATGTGAAGATCTCATTTTTAATCATCTCAAGCAACATTTCCCAAGTCATAAGGTTAGCTTTCATATCTTATATTCTTCGTTCCATCACGTTATTAGCTGTTTTGTGAAGATTTTACTCATCTGTTTCCGGCTCTTTGCTGCTATATCTCTTCACTTTAGTTCATCGGTGAAGAAACAACTGCTGCTTGTGGCAATTTTGAGCTGACCGATGAACCAACTTGGATAGTTGATCCACTCGACGGAACGACTAACTTTGTGCATGGGTAAGCATAAATTTCTCCGTACTTTAATAGAGCTTGTTTTATGATTCATGAAGCCGCTCAAGCTGATTTGTGGAACTTGATTTATTTTAGGTTTCCTTTTGTCTGTGTATCAATTGGTCTTACAATTGGAAAGATTCCGACAGTTGGTGTTGTTTACAACCCAATTATTGATGAGGTGAGAATCTCTGTCAGCTATGCCTGTATTCCAAATTTGTTGAGTTCGATTGTATGAGTACTCTATATTCATTTCTATATATTTAGGTTCAGTTCATTCCAATACGGAATAATATATCTTTGTAAGCAAATATGAGATTCTTTATAAAATAAAGGTTCACTAAATCACGTTTACCCCTAACACCTATACAAGTCTCTAACCAGAATAAAATATTCCTAAGAGACACAGGTCCTAATGTAAGTGTGACAACAACCAACCTTATTTCCGTTTCATAATAGTGATAACTTGTTGTGGCCATCTTGACTTGTGATGAAATTAGGAGCTGTTAATCAATGAATTGATAATTCAAGTTAGTAACAAGATTTTTACTTTTGACATGCAGCTTTTCACTGCAATCAACGGGAAAGGTGCTTTTCTCAATGGGAAGCCTATCAAAGGTATTGTTGCATATTGATTGTGGTGTAGCTTTTAAAACATCATGTCTACTACCTATCAATCGCTGACAAGTTTTCTGCATTGTTTTAATACCCTCAGTATCTTCACAGTCTGAACTTGTGAAGGCTCTTCTTGCTACGGAGGTACTTGGCCATCTCTATTGTTGCTTTTTAATAGTACCTCTCAGTTATTGCTTATAATTGCAACCCTGCAGAAACCTTTTAATGGAATGTGATACATAAAGAACAATTTTTTTTTTTTTGATGACCGAGAAATCCGTCTGGGGCCGATCCTTTAGACCAACTGCAGCCTTCGAAACTCGGTGGATAATGGATAAAGAACAATTTCACTTTATCTGTTCTGCTGTAACTATGCTGATAAGAACATGAAATTTAGATAATTGTTTTTGGAATATTTTTTGACTTCAATTAATTGAACATCCATCTTGGTTTGTATAAACTCGGAATTAGCACATAATTGGTGAAGTAAGCATCCTCTTTTTGGTTGTAGTGTGGTCATTTGTTTAGAATACCTTCACTTATTTTACTTCAAGCAAGACTGTCTGTCCTGAGCTCTACAAATATGTGAATAGGATAAACCGGTCAATTAAGTGAATATGGAAAAAAGGTTATGTTGCTTGTCCAACTCTCGAACTCGCTTGTCCTTAGCCAAGATATATTTCTGTTCCTGCAAATCTCTAGCAGCCTCCTATTATATTGAAAGTCTTACTTCCTGTGACCTGTGACATTTTATTTGGAAAATATTTTTTAGAGCTAGCTGGATTTATGCCTATCAGTGTGTTGGTTTACTTTTTCTGTTTACCTCTTTGATATACTAGGAAAAATTACTGACATTTATTTTACTGGAGCAGGCTGGAACGAAGCGGGATAGGTTAACTCTAGATGCTACTACAGGGAGAATCAATAGCTTGCTTTTCAAGGTGACGCAGCACCTGCCAAGAAATCCAAATTTTCAGCTAAACATATGTTCAGACAATAAAAATAACCTGTTTGATCTTTATATTGCAGGTCAGGTCCCTCCGGATGTGCGGCTCTTGTGCATTGAATCTCTGTGGGGTGGCATGTGGAAGGCTTGATCTCTTCTATGAACTTGAATTTGGAGGCCCTTGGTAAGGCTTGTAATTTCTTTTCAGTCTGCTAACATGTGACATTGGTAATAGTAAATAACAAATACACATATTGGTGACAATTTGTTTCCACATACAGGGATGTGGCAGGTGGTGCTGTGATAGTGAAAGAAGCTGGAGGTTTCGTGTTTGATCCGTGAGTAACACACTCTATTCCTCGTGAACTTTTCCAAATAATGAAATAGAAGGAGATGAAGTTTCATGTTCACATAGAGAGAAAAGAAGTATAGTTCAGTGTTCCTAAGAGAAATAGAAATCAAATTGTTCAATGATATATTTAGGTATACACCTATATGGAGCGGAAAAGATGTAGCAAATTCAGATAGCCGACCCCAATAGTTTTAGGATCGAGGCAAAGTTGAATGATTGATTGATTTAATAATAGACCGACAGTTTGATATCGCTGATGTATAGTAGTTTTCTTCATCAGATCTGGTTCAGAATTTGACCTCACAGCTCGACGTGTAGCTGCTACAAACGCTCATCTCAAGGATGCATTTATCAAGGCCTTGAATGAATCAGAATGAGAAGAAGCTACCACCAGAACCAGTTCTAATTTCATCATTAAACGGGATATAGCTATTCGTATCCTGACTCCATCTTCAGGATTCAATCATTATTTAGCCAAGAAACATTCACTTCTTACCATTTATTGCTGGTTTTAATTAACCAGGCAAGTCATCTGTACTATCCTTTTCAATATACAGAGACCATATAATGTTATAGATTTGGTTCTTTAGTGTAAGAAGCTTCCTGAAAGGCCAATTTCCGTCGTCGACATCAGTTTGTTTGATGGAAAGTGACTTCAATGACATATTATGTAATGGGATAGATTTTGTTCTATAGTATAAGAAGCTTCCTATAAGGCCTATTTCTGCCAAAGACATCAGTTTGTTTGATACAAAAAGACTTCATTGATATAACTTCTCTTCAATCTTATCATTGTCAAACACTGTCCGATGCATTATTGGAGAAATAATTGTTATTAACTTGTTGTGGAATACCTTTATACTTATATAATATGATGAATTATTTAGTTGTTGTTCTACTTTTAAGATTGGTAAAACTTTTTTGAAGTAGTTTGAGAAGATAAATGTTGTTCTTCTACTCCCACTAATGATTGCACTATATCTGATTTTTTGACTTAATAATCTAGTAATTTGTTGTGCTAATGATAAAGGCTACTACAGTATATATCTCTTTATCTTTGTAGTCAATATTGGTGCCCTTGAGACTCAGAGACTTAAAGGGTAAGTTCTAAAGGTAGTGGTTAGACCGACTATGTTGTATGGGACTGAGTGTTGGCCAGTCAAAAACTCCTATGTCTAGCAGATGAAAGTAGCAGAAATGAGGATGTTGAGATGGATGTGTGGGCATACTAGGTTGGATAAAATTAGGAATGAAGTTACTCGGGACAATGTGGGAGTGGCCTCTGCGGAGGCAAGGTTGAGATGGTTCGGGCATGTTAAGAGGAGAAACACAAATGTCCCAGTCAGGAGATGTGAGAGGTTGACCTTTGGAGGTGAGAGGAAGGGTAGAGGTAGGCCAATGAAGTCTTGAGGAGAGGTGATCAGACGGGACATGGCGCAGCTTGAGCTAACCGAGGACATGACCCTAGATAGAAGGGTGTGGAGGTTGAAGATTAGGGTAGTAGGTTAGTAGGTAGTCGTGCGTTTCCCTTTGTCTTCTATAGTTCGATAGTATTAGTGCTAGTACGGTATCCTTTTTTTCTTAGTTTGCTATATTCGCATGTCTTATTTCTTTATTACTTGCCATCGGTAATTCCGTAATTGGCTAGCAGTACTTCATTCATATTCTTGTGCTATTACTTGTTATCAGTACCCCTTTCATATTCTTTGTTGCTATTTTCGGTACCCTCCCCAGCCACTTGTGGGATTATACTGGGTGATTGTTGTTGTTGTTGTTGTTTGTAGTCAATATTGTGAATTGAAGCTGAATAAGAAAATGCGAGAAACACCGAAACATACAAAGAGAAAAAAGAACACCCTGATTTATATTGCACAAGGAATAAAGTACATATGTAAATATCAACAACAAATTCAAGAAAATAAAACTCGAACCGAAAAAACAACCACCACCTACTGTAAGCCCGCGGTGAGGTCTGCGGAGAGTAGTGTGTACGCAGACCTTACCCCTATCCTGAGAAGGTATAGAGGCTGAAATTCAAGAAAACTCTGGGAAGGGTAATGTGTACGCAGACTTTACCCTTACCTTGAGAAGGTGGAGCCGCTGAAATTAAAGAAAATAAAACCCGAACCGAACAAAAGAAAAAAAAAACATCCCATGATGCTCTTTATCTAAATATTCCTCTGGCATCATATCCAAGTTTGAACTACATAAATAGACAAATCAAACTATCTCCAATACAGAAGAATATTTCAATGCCTAAACTCTGTAATGTATCCTAGTAGTTCCATTTCCATAGCCATTATTATAGCCATTTGTTTCATATAAACCTTGTCCTTGTGTATTCTTCTCAACAGTTGTAACAGATTTGTTTCTCTTTATAACCACACACCATGTAATAACTTCCAAGAATGCAGCAATGATTCCTAAACCAATTAGTGTTCCAATATAAGCTATTCTCCATTTGTTCTCAGGATTCAAGATGTTCAAACCTTTGAATATGTTGATGATTCCAAGGACAACAATTGAATATCCAACTGATCTGTGGTAAATGTTCCAGTAAATCCTGTGTTTGTGATCCCTTTTTGGCCTCAGAAGCATTGCAGAAGCCTGTAATCAAAGGAAATATTCACATTGTAGTTAAATTAACAATTTAGATGGTTGAAAATAAACCTCCCTTTCAACTTCATTTCTTACTTAGAATGTTATGTTCAAGCCGTGGAAACAGCCTCTTGTAGAATGCAGGGTAAGGCTGCGTACAATAGACCCTTGTGGTCCGGCCCTTCCCCGGACCCCACGCATAGCGGGAGCTTAGTGCACTTGGCTACCCTTTTTTTAATGTTATGACTCAAATATTTAATAGGACAAAGCTAAGTTGCGCAGACTCTTCAAGATGCTGTTATACTTGCCGGCAATATTTTCGGAGAGTCCGAGCAACATAGAAAAAAGGTACGAAATTACCCCTCTAATATACGAATTATTTAAACTTTTTTCTTTCCCTTAAACTTTGGAGACATTCATACCCTTGCCGTTAACTAGCTTGCCCTTGACTTTAATGGAGCTCCAGCGTGGACCGGGTGAATTCCACGTGTCAAACAAGAAAAGGTCCAACTTTACCCCTATACTTTTAATATGATCTTATATTACCCTCTGTTATACAACAACAACATACCTAGTAAAATCCCACTAGTGGGGTCTGGGGAGGGTAATATATACAGACATTACCCTCTGTTATATATCTCAGAAACACCACTAAAGTCACGGATAAAAATAAGACGATTTGCTAACAAGGGTATGAATAGCCAAAGTATAACAAAAGGCTATTAAGATATTTCGTATAGTAGAGAGCTACTTTTGATCAGCAACAACAACAAACGCAGTGAAATACCACAAGTGGGGTATGGGGAGGGTACTGTGTGCGCAGACCTTACTCCTACGTTATGAAGGTAGAGACGTTGTTTCCGGACACAATCACTTTTTGGCATTAACAAATCAATGTTGATAGCCAAAAATCTTGAAACAATAGGGTGCTATAGAGAATGACTAAATTACCTGGAGGGTAGCAAGGGAAAACAGGACAATGCCAATAGTTCTGTGGACAGTAAATTGAATACCAGGGGATTCACTCCCCAGTTGAAGACCAGTAGCCCAACCAGCAACACCAATAACATAAGCTGTGATTTGCCAAATGGAGTGTAGGTAAAACCAAGCAGGATCTGAAAACACCTTTAAATACCTTGCAAATAAGATCCCTATAGGCATCATGATCCCCCAACTCACTGCATTTAGCAGTCCATGAAGCTGAAAAAATCCATTGAAAAATCAGAATTTCAAGTCAAAACTTATTACCAATATTTTCAAAGAAAAAATGCGGTCAGTTTCAACAACAACAACAACAACAAACTCAGTGTAATAAACTGACCAACAACAACAACAAACTCAGTGTAATCCCACAAAGTATGATCTTGGGTTAGTACAGTGTACGCAGACCTTAGCCTAGCTTGTGAAGGTAGAGAGGTTGTTTGAGATAGACCTCTCGGCTCAAGGTAAAAGTAAAAGAAGCAAACACAACGCGTAATAACATCAACAAGATAAGGTGTCCGTTTCGTGTATACTAAACATTATCTACTATAACAATAAAGTTGCAAAACAACTTTTAGCTATATTAAAGTAATTGTACTTTTACTTACTATAGCAGTAAAGTCGTTAAACTGTATCCGTTATAACTGGTAAAGTCACATAAACTATTTCTTGTCGCATTAAAATAACTTAATTTTTTTTACTATAACAATAAAGTCGTCGATAAAACCCTACCCATCAAGGTGCGACTTTAATGTTATAATGAATAAATTTTAGTAACAAAAATAGTTTTCTGACTTTACTCTTATAAGAAAAAGGGCAGTCCGGTGCACTAAGCTCTGCTATGCACAGGGTCCGAGGAAGGGCCGGACCACAAGGGTCTATTGTATGCAGCCTTACCCTGCATTTTTGCTAGAGGCTCTTTTCACGGTTTGAACTCGTAACCTCCTGATCACATGGCAGCAACTAAGGCTCCCCTTCCTGACTTTAGTGTTATAGTTGGTAAAATTCTACCTTAATGTGATAAAATAGTTTTTTGACTTTATCGTTATAACACATAAAGTTCAGTAACTATACTTCAACAACAACAACATACCCAGTAAAATCTCACTAGTGGGGTATGGGGAGAGTAGAGTATACGCAGACCTTACACCTACCCTGAAAAGGGTAGAGAGACTGTTTCCAGGAGACTCTCGGCTCAGCAGGAGAGACAATAAAGTTCAGTAACTATACGTGAAATTAAATAAATCAAATGACTTACATTTTTCTTGTTAAATTGTGAGCTTGCAGCTCCAGTAGTAGTAGTTTTAGATTGTCCAGAAAGAAGGCTACCAGAAGTATCATGCATTGCAGGAGAATCTCCTGAAAGCGGACCTTCTTGCCATACTTGGTTTACAATTGTAGAGTTAAATTTATCAAGTTTTAATGTAGCAAAAATGGCGATTTCGTTATTCGAATAAGTAGCTGATAAATCAGAAACAGGAAAACTCAGATTCCCTTCTTGTAACTGTGTTTGATAACTTGTGATAGGAGATGTATAAATTCTCATTTTTCCATCTGATTTTTGATATGCAACTAATGCTTGTGAACCAACCATGCCTTGAGCAGTTGGATTTATAGCCCATGCTACCCATCTTGAGGAGGTAATCTTAGTGTGTCGAAAGGCGATTTTCGCAGTTTTAGAAGAAGGATCATAATTCCAGTGAAGGAATGAGTTCAAGTAAGGTAAATCACTGCATGAAGTGAAGATCTGGTTGCTTGTAAAGTTGTACTTTGTGCATGATTGAGCATATGTGGATGACACAAACAGAGAAAACAGCATGCATGAAATCAAGAAACCTCTTAACATTTTCAACAAAACAAATAAGGATTCTAGAATACTATGTTGTTGTTGTTGTTATTCTGGTGTTTGGAGAAAAAGTTTATGATGGAATGACAAGAAATGGAGGGGCTAATATATAAAGGGTAGTGGGGTTAAGATTAGTTAGATAGTTTGGCTTGGAA